GTGATTCGGATGGGTTTTGGGTTTTGGGTGTAGGGTTTAGATGGTTTAGATGGTTCAGATGGTTCAGATGGTTCAGATGGTTCAGATGGTTTAGATGGTTCAGATGGTTTAGGGGCAGACAAGCGCCATGATTTGAGGTTGCGAACCGGAAGGAGGGGGGAGGGGCCATGTGAACTGCAGCAAGCCATGCACCCTTCGTGCAAGGACGCCAGTTTGGCTTAGAGTCGTTTCACCTATACTTCGCTCCAGCGTAGAAACGGAGAGCGAGTCTGGATGGCCATGGGGTGGTTGCTGCGGAGCTCTTTGCTCCTTCGCATCCCTTCAAGGCTCCTGGGGCTGAGATCTTTCTCTGCTGATACAGGTCTTCCGAGGCTCCGCCTCCGTGGACTACCCTTCCACGCCACCGCCTTCGACATCGAAGGCTTCTTCAGAGGCTTTCGGTTAGCTCCAGGTGCTCACAATGGCTCCGCTGTAGAGATTCTGCGCGGCCACGGACGGAGGCCCACGGGCCAGGCCTTTGCTTACTTCGAGGATGTGCTCGAGGCGATGCGCGCGAAGGATGAGCTGGATGGCCATCCTTGCTGCGTCGTCGGCTCGCGCGTCTACCGCCTGGAAATCCTTGAAGACTTCCGGGGCAGAGTCGTGATCACTGATGAGGACGTGCCGGGAGACATCGAGGAGCAGGCCGTCCGAGATGAAGTTCGGAAGTCCATGGTTGGGCTCAAGCACAGGGAGAAGCTAGACATGAAACGCTTCAAGTTCAGGCAGTACTAAGAGCTCGCGGTGTTCTTGACACGCATTTCCCAGCAACGCCTCCGGCCCGCGCGCTCAAAAAAGGTGTGCCCCAGAGCGCTTCAAAGTTTAAAGACCAGCGGGGCTTGTGTTGTGGCATAGTATATACACAGATTATGTGCACATCGAAAACAGAAACAGTATCTGCTAGTAATATTAGTATATAATTCTATTTAGTATCATATCATAGTATATGATGCATAACAGTATGTAATAGTGTGTATATTAAAACAACAATGTCTTACAACACAGACTACACGTACTACCTCATATCCGCACATCATCTTGAAACCCTAAACCCTAAACTCTAAACCCCACACCCTAAACCCTAAACCCTAAACCCTAAACCCTAAACCCTAAACCCCACACCCTAAACCCTAAACCCTGCAGTCCATGTCTGTGTCTGCTGCCAGTTTAGATCTAAGTGATGCAGGCTCGACCCGCTCCAGTGCCTCCAGTTCAACAGAGTAGCGAGCAGAAGCCTCAGAGTGTTGGAGACACTGGCGGTTTAGGATTTGTTTAGGGTTTAGGGCTTAATTAGGGTGTAGAGCATGGGTGTGCATGTCTGAGAGCTGATGAGATTCGCTGGGTCGCAGCACAGCCACTGCCTGGCGAGTAGACAGTCGGTTTTTGGTATTGACGGCAGCAGCTCGCGCTCCTGCGCCACGCCCAACCGCAACCGTCCTGGCACAACCCTAGACCCTAAACCCTAAACCCTAAACCCTAAACCCTAAACCCTAAACCCTAAACCCTAAACCCTAAACCCTAACCCCTAACCCTAAACCCTAGCCTGAAACTGAGCTCAGGCCACCCGCACGGCAAGGCACCGATCCTGCCGACGAGGACACCATCACCTCTTGGTAGCCAGTGGTACCCTTTTCCCTCTTAAGGTTTTAGGGTTTAGGGTTTAGGTTTTAGGGTTTAGGGTGGTTCCCTTATAAAGTAACCAACCCCAAAAAAGGATGCCCTTATTGAAACATGGCTGCTGGGCTTCCAAGACCTTCACGACTCCATACATGGAGATGGCGTGTGCAGGATCCCGAAACCCAAGTCCCGAACCCCGAAAGCGCCCTACGCCAAAAGTCAGCGTTAAAGTAGCCAACCCCCAAAAGGGTATTATTATTATTATTGTTATTATTAGTTCTATTTTTCTTCTTCTTATCATTTTTATTAGCATTAGTACTATTGTTACTATTCTTATGATTATTACTATTATTATTCGTGTGTTTATTGCTATAATAAGAATAATTATAATTATTAATCTTCTCATTACTATGATTATTCTTCTTCTTCTTCTTCTTCTTCTTCTTTTCTTCTTCTTATGTGTTCTGGCGCTGGCGAAAGGCCCGGAGAACTTTGGCTGAAGAGTTCGTCCGTGAAGGGCCCTCGCCCACCAAGGCCGCCCCTGCGGTCTTGGTCTGCGGGTTTTCGTATTCTTTGGGGTCTTGGGTTTAGGGTTTGGGGTTTAGGGTTCAGGGTTAGATAAGAGTATACTTGAAGGTTCATGGTACTTATCAACCCAACTATAACTGTACTTATGATAAGCCCCTTAAGTGCCCTAATACAGCGTTTCAAGACTAGATGTTTTTCAACGCGCAAGCCGCAGCTCAAGGCAACCAACAGCACCGACAGATAGGAATACACATACCAGTATATAGTAGAAAAAGAGCATATGTACTAAACTATGGTAATAGCAAATGTGAAGAGA